ACTTCTCTTTAATGACGCACGACCACAAGTTGCAAAAATTATTCACAAAAAATAGAGGAGCTGGACTGACATTTTGCCCCACCTACGGGGTCAAATCGGGGTCCCTCAGATGAGCACTTACTAGGGTCGATGCATCACTATTTAGGGGTAAATACGAAAATGATGCGAAAATTTGTGTGAGCCAGTTTTCTGACAGCAACAGAGTCTTTTGAGAAGGACATCTGGTTCCTGCGCAGGAATGGAGAAGAGTTATCGGAGCAGATGGAGATTATCTCAAAAGCTGAGTGACTTTGTGCTAAAACTGAAACTAGTTTTCAGGCAAAAACAGTTTATATAAACAATAACGACATCAAGATTACGGCTATTTTTACAAAGAAAATATTCTCATTTTTGATGGAATGATCAGTACTAATTTATTAATTCACAATTAATCAAGTTTTGCTTTTTTATCTTAATGCTTCATTCTCACTCAAACGAAACCCTTCTTCATTCTGAAACAAACCTGTAGAAGTAAGTAAAGCAGCTTTGCAGGCAGAGTAACCAGGATCCAAAGCTATGAAACTCTCAGCCTTCACTCCTTCACGCCAGAATAAATGCCGCAAATTGTGGGCAAAGCATGAGATGGCTGCCTCTTCGGCACGTGCTAGAAGAAGACGTCTGCAACCAGTTACTGGAGTTTCATTGAGGTTACAGGAAGGAAAAAAAAGAACCTAAACCAACTCCTTACCGCAGGGTTCGTTGAATTTTCGGAATAAAAAGTCGATTTATGGAATCTCTGAGTGCAGTTTGAAACAATCCTTGATGTAAGGAGGCAACCCTAATTGATTGTTGCATTCTTGGGAAAGATCTGAGGTCAAGTTTCTTCTATTTCTCACCGCATACTGTTTCCGGGATGTTCTTTTTCCGCGTAAGCGACTTCTACTTTCCAAGAAAGCACTTCGTTTTCCTCACCTCTATCCATTGCGAGAATCTCAAAGAAATCACAATACATCGCAGAAAAGCTTAAATAAGTGAGAAAGTAAGGTCAAACCTGATAATTTTCCACTTTTCTTGCATCCTTCTTGAAATTCAAATAATCGTTGAAGTGTGAGATCAATCGATAAGATTTATCATTTTCTGTCCATTTCTTGGCCTTATTAGATAGCTCAGAGCAGACGGAGAGAAATACGTTCGTTTCCATTTTTGTACTGCAAAGTATCAGAGAACTCCTTGCAATCACTTTGCTGAGAACTTGAAGACATTTATGATATTGATGATTAGAAAAGACTAACTATAAAAGAGAAATACGCACTTGTCTCTAAGATTAAAAATACAAACTCCACAGCCTACTAACATTCTTTTGATTGCATCTTGTGTCTCCTGCATTCTATTTAGTATATCAGCCATGGCGTTCGCAACATGTTCTTCAACAATTTTCAGGTTTTTCAGCTCTAAAGTTAACATCAAAAGGCCAATTTTTGAGGTTTTTCCCAAAGTAATTAGCTCGCCTGGCTTCGAACCGATATATCGCTCCAAACTGACGGTTTTTCCGTCCAGTATAGTTTGCGCAACTTCTTCTAGCCCCATCTCCCTACATGCATGTAGCATATTACAAAAAAAAAAGATACGGTAGGTACAGAGACTTGAAACACATACCTAGCTATAGAAGCCTTGGTCTTACGAGCACTTGCATACAGCTGAGTGACTTCAGTGACATCCGCTGACTCTCTTGCAGACTAATGATACAATCGAGATTTGGAATGAAGTTTACCAATAAGGAATACAAAAAGCAGTAGCTTACTTTAAGCCGTTCCAGGGCAATTTTGAGATCACCCTCTGACTTGATTTTTGTCGAGACATTTGAAATCGCTTTTTCAACCTTCTTATTAAGCTCTCTAAAAGTCTCATTATGAATTAAGGATAAGTGGCCATTTAAGCATCTAATAACAAAAAAATTCCACTAATGTGCTTTTTTGGGGAAAAATATTTAAAAACTTAGTTAAGAGCTAAAACGAATTATAGTTGGCAAAGTCGTAGAAAAACAATTTTAATTTCAAACTGCAATTAAAATGTCACTTTAGTGGAAACAACCGTGGTCTGCAATTTTGGCGTCTTCAGTTTATTGGAATTAGACGAAACGATTTGTTGCTGATACTATACAATATTTGAACTGAGGAAAAGCTTCACATAAGAGTTTTTGAATATAAACATATTCACTAAAGAAAACCTACTT